GGGCGGTGGGTCGATCTAGTGTTACTACAATTTATTTATTTTAGCCCAGAGAGAGAGTATTTAATGAATAAACGTATCTAGATCTAGATTTTGTTGTGCACCCAGCCAAGAGTGTGCAGTTCACCGTCTTTGAAGTAGAAATTACTATTCAGGTAGATCTATGTTTAAAAAAAACAACCTAGATCTATCCCGATCAATGATCACGTTAAATAAACTACTGCCCCTGAAAAAAACACTAGATCTAGATCTAGATCTACCATCAGATTTACGTATATTATTCTTAGCCTCAGGCAATATATATTTTACAATCACACAAACCCCCGCTATTTGCGGCTTCTCACGCCGAATTCACTACTATAGAGACTTCAAAAACCATTCATGTTATTAAGGATCGTATTGTGAGTAATTTGCAATCATCTATTTTGTGGATGAATCTTACAGTTGCCATGATGACGGTGGCCATAGAGGAAAATGAACCATTTTTGGCATGTTTTTTAATCTCAAAAAGTCAAGACATCACAAGCTTTTTCAGTTAGATCTTCTACATGTATCTCATAGATTTATATTTTTGGAGAAAAAAATATTTTTTTAAATTAGTCATTGAAAATTTTTTTAAGCCTTAGATTTACATCTAATCTAGATCTATTTTTTTACTTATAAATAATATCTTTAGGTAGAAATAAGATATTCAAAAAGCATGTGATATCTTGCTTTATTCGGACCACATCTCTACCAAGTTTCATTTAAATTTAAATCCATTCTTAAACTTCTGACTTAAGCAAAAAAATGTACAGCTAGAAAAATATGATTTCGAGGAAAATGCAATTTTAATTCAAAATTTGTTCTCAAAAGTAGTAAATCACTACCTTTCAAAAGCATTTTAGAAGAAATATCTATTTGAGGCATAATACTTGGGAAAAGGACACAATAGTGGCTAAACTAAAGGATGAAACAAAATTATGAAGATAAACCCTCATTTCAGGTGCCATCTTTTAGTTATAATAGCCCAAGGTAGATCTACTGGTCTTAAAAATACTGGGATAGTGTTTTGAGTATAATGTCTAAACCACGAAAACAACCGCAGTAGTGTTTATTGGCGAAGAATGATGTGATAGTGTTTTTGGTGTGGGTAGTCAATCTGGCGTGTGTAAGCGGTAGTGTTTTTAGCTTAGAGATAGTGTTCTTAGCGTACGCCAAAGTCACTAGGGTAGTGTTTACAGCATGTGCAAAAATCAGTACGGTAGTGGTTATGGCATGAAAGCTTACACCAAAACCACTACGGTAGTTTTTATTGCACGGAAGTGTTGTGAGCGTGTTACACCAGTACTGGACTCTGGCAGAGGCAGTTTGAACTTTTCAAGCGCTGGGTGCATGGGGTTGT